TTAGCCATAGCTGACGTTCATGCCTCTAGTTATCACGCAGACACACATATATAGCAGCTTTAATGAATCGTACATGATTTTGTGGCGAGAATTGCGCACGAACAATTGTACTGACGATTTTAACATGGCCGCACACTCATTCAACTTTCATCAAACGTACGTACCTATATAATAACGAATGAGCGTTCCAGTTCGTTCGGCCTTTTTGGCACTTAAAGACCTCTTTCACAGCGTGTATCGCCAAATGCATCGAATACAAAGATAAATTATTAATTTATAACTGCAAGTACTCGTGGCGTACTCGAAAAATGACCTCGACATACGTAGGTTGCATCTCGTATCCGAGTCTGTTAGATCGCGATGCCACGTTTGAATGCAAGACGTCGCTCTTGATCTCCGGCATCCCCGGGATAATAATCGCGATGCGATGGTCATGAAACTCGTTTGCCTGGCAAAAGAAATGGCCAACATTCAGTGGCATAGATAGAAAGATAGCCGGACTAGCTCGAGAACAGAAAATGGCATGGCTCGTGCGCTTATACAGTCTCTCTGGGCTGCGGATCGATGTGGGCCGAAAGCAAAGGGGAGAGAGCAGAACAGCTCTCGTGCTGGCTACGGCATTTGGCGAGTTGACAACTCGCCCGCTCCGCTGCGCGTTTCTATACATACTCACACACTGACCGCGCCGCGCGCCGCGCGCCGCCTGCAGCTCTCACTCTCTGCCTCTGGTCAATAGCCGCTGCCGAGAGCTCTGCCCATTATCGTCCGAAAGAGAGAAATAACACGGCAAAGCCTTTTCAATCGATAACAAAAATAGGAAAGAGGGGCTGGCGCGCGCGGGTGCCCCGAAAAATCTCGGAATATTCCGTCGTGCGCCCAACTCAACCATATGCATAGTAATTAAATTCCAAGCGGGCACTGCGCCCAAACAATACCCAAACAAAAGCAAAACCAGCAGGAATCATTTGCGAATATGCATGTGCGAATTTTCGAAAGGTGTTCCTTCTACTCTCGCCAAGGCCAACTAGTCCCCTACTACTCGGCCAACGCGAAAAAAGGGTCTCTCTCCGCGCGCGCGCGCGTGCGCGCTTTTTAAAAAGCATTGCATTAATCCTCCTCGATGAGCCAAGTCCGAAATCAGCAAAGGGTTCCGCCGGTCCACGCTCATCGATTTTCGCGTGCATTCGTGCATACGTGCATACCCTTCGAAGGCTTTATCTATACGGCCTGTTCTCTCCCTCTGTTTTATAGTCCGCTTGCTATGCATACTGAGTGTGCGAGTCGAGTATATTGATTGGAATGACCATTGCCGTCATGCTGGAAACGAACACTCCGCTGTGCATTCCAAGTACACAATACCGACGAGATATCGTTCTGCAAATGCTTTCGAGGAAAGAAGCAGCCGGGCATGGGATTGCAAGGCAGGATCGAGCCTGGCGTGATGACTGCGCCAAGGCAACGCAATATTTCTTGAGGGTCCAGGGCTTCCCCTATGAAATCATTGCCGAATGACTCATTTATCGTATACCCTCGCCGCGACTCGCGAACCCTTAATGCCTGACTATAAAATGTCGGATATACACTTGTCTCTGCTTACTTTTTTTCTTCTTGTCTCTTTATACTTCGATTCGAACGTCAATACACCGACGTGCATGTGGACATGATAAGCAACGTAGTTAATTTTAGCGATCGCGACTAAGACTTAAATGACGTTGCTACGGAGTACTATACAGTTACTATACAGCAATTACTGACCTTTCTCAACTGGTTTATTGTACGCATATAGTTCAGTCGACAATGGGGGGAGTGGCAGGTATTTCAATTTTTGGCAACTGATAATGAAGCTACGTTAAGCGGAACACGCGACAAGGGTGTCGCTCACGCGCATATCTGCAAGAAACCATCTTCGACGTTGTTCCACCTCCTTTCTTCTTCCTTTTTAATTTTAATGACTGCCAAGGTAGCTCATAGACTCTACTATTTTCACACAATTTTTAATATTCTCTTTCGTCCCTATTCCTGTAATTCACTGCTCCCGCGAGAAGATTTGTCGAGTGTGCAATTTATTACTTAACATGCGCAGATCATATAGTTCTTTCTTTAAAGAACACAAGATGATTAGTAACGTTGCAGAAAATCAGCCCCAAGGTGGACGTCTGTCGTCGCTGTAATTTATTAATGCAGCTATGGAAAGAGTATAGGTGAGCGCTCGAGAGAGAGTTCATCAATTAATCATAGCACACGCTTGAAGCATCCTCTCTCTCTCTCTCTCTCTCTCTCACTCTCTCTCTCTCTCTCTCTCTCTCTTTCCACCGATCGTCATCGCTGTGGGCGCTTGAGTGTGGCCATCGCGCACGTTTGCGCGGACGTTCGTTGACCTACATTATAACTCCGACGACGACCAAGATCAACGCGCTCGCGCAGCTTTCACCCATCGCGCGATGACTTCTTCCACTGACGTCATGTCAATGGCTGTTCACCGAACAATATCGAGCATTGCGAATTTACGTTGTTTTTATCTCGGTAAGAGAGCGGCATCCTCTTTGGCGCTCGAGCTTTTAGCAACTTACGTAAGTGCGATTTATGAGGCGCGCGCCAAGTTCGCTGCACTCCGCGGGATTTTTAAGAGGATGAGCGTAAGACGTGGCCTTTTAGGAGGATTTTCGAAGGAGACTGGTCGTGAGAGCGATTGCTTGGCTGCTACTATTTTTTCAATTGCTGCCAATCGTCAGTCTTATTCTTCCCAAGCAGATGACTTTCGCCCATTGATCATCGCTTGCTGTGAGACAGTAATGTTCAAAAATCAGGGCGAAAGTGATGAAACGATATCGAAAGAACGCATAGTCCATTTTTTGGGGGAAATATACCGGACTGCAGATGGAGAGGAGGAAGAAAGAGATCTCATTATCGGAACCATATAAAAATCCGAAATGTTGTTCGGAGGCAGCAGTGCATGTGGAAGATTGGACAAAGCAAGAAGGATTATTTGCTTAGCAAAAAACAGGTGGGATCGAGCGGCGCGCTGGTTAGCGAAGCGAACGAACAGGCACGAAGGAAAAAACAGTTGGCAGGAAAATGACGGCGGAGCAGTGCTAATGTTGGCAGGATAAAGGGCAAAAACATGATGCTCCGGTTGATCGCCGAACGAAGTAGGAAGACGGCAAGCGAGCAGCAGCAGTGGAAGCAAGGGACCAGCATAGAGCTATCTCTCTCCCTTGCATTCCCCGGCTAATCTGTGGTAGGAGGCATGTAGGACGAACGGATGGAGAACACGAAAGT